GATTACCTAGATTAACTGCATGACGTGCCCCCAACCCACAGTTCATTACGTAAGTATACAAATCAAAATTTTTTATTTCACAATAACAGTACGCTTCTGGTTACTGCAATTACTGTTGAAAGCTACCCCTTAACGTTGTTGTGGATTATACTTTACGTAATGATTTGCCGATCATTTTAATAATGCCGATAAGAGTTGACGATCCTAGCACCCCTCACTATGATGAGGGTGGGTGCTTATTCACGGTAGTATACGGTATATTGTATGCAGTGAATCATAATAGCGGTTACACATAAGTTATTGATTCCGTTGGTTGATTTTTGACAGCCCCCAAGAATGCTTTTTATTTGATAATAAAGTCTTACATTAACGACATGTCCCGTGTCTGATAATGTCTAATTTGGATCTCGAACATATTGCAGTATTAAAACGAACTCCAGTACGAAAGTTAATAATTGCTTGTAAATACAACAATAAACTTGTTCATACTTTAACCTAATATGGAATCCCTTTGATACAGCATACCCGAAATCAGAAAAGCTTTTTCATAAGCTTGTGCATCTCATCGTTATCACCAGTAAGTTTTCTTTTTCTCTCTACTTTTTCCGAATCTGAAAAATTGAGTCATCCAGTTTAGTTAATTGTTTCATAAAAGACTTTTTGATGATAACCTGATTGTAGTGGAAGAGTAATTATAATCGTCTAAAGCGTCAAGCAGATAGTTCAGGAAAATACTTAACCATTCCCGGTAGACTTTCTACTGCGCTGGCTGACGCATGTCGCCATCTTTGATTCTCTTTAGTCACGCATGGTCTAATACTAGCTGACTATTCTTGGAAAGAGAGCCAAATATACAAATTAGATCTTTGGCTCCCAAGTTTCGAACTCATTATAATAGTCGTTGTGTAACAAAGCGTAATTCTAAAACCTGAATCGAGAAGAAAGTGCTTTGCAAGGTTGTGTGGATTCTGAAGCTATATGCTTGGAAGAATGTATTTAGACCGTTAGCTTTGATTCTTATTACAGTGCTAGATCGATAAAAGCATTATCAAATTCTCTGCATTTAAACCAAAACTCCGCTGTATTTATTGTCAGGAGCGATTCAAGCAATCATGGGGAGATATTTATTATTAATGTTTAGTGATGATGGATAGTCATCAAAATAGCACGGGACCTTGACTCTATATATGAATAGGAGTTGAATCTAGTTTTTCTCTCAAGAATATGCTTTCTAATGGGAATGAGCAAACTTGTTTTCCTTAATTTTGTTCTCGCTTGACTAATAACTGATAAACCGGCTGATAGATAATAAAAGGACTCCATGTCATTTCCTCGGATACAGATGTCATTTCCGTGTCAAACCTTTGAGAATTCGGGTAGAAAACCTTTTGCTTGCCCGCGAGCTTTTCGGGGGTTGTTTTGAATAGATTTTGGATAAAGTATCGACTGATGTGCAAAGATTAATAAAAGATTTGCCCATCCTTACTGCGTTAAACAATGCACGAGTTTTTCCATGTCGGCCGATTAGATTTTGTAGAACAATTTGGCCAGAGCGTCAAATGGAAAATAATTTCTACTTTAAGCTATAGCGCTAGATTATTAAACACATTGGCAGAACTATTTTCACAAAACGAGAGCGAGTAGCAAGACGCTTAACAGATTCAAACATGTTGCTTAAGAATGTTCTGTTCTTACTAAATGCAGTAGGCCCTTCTATATGTTGACAATCTCCAGTACCTTATTCAGTGATTGTAAAATAAAGAGCAAAGCGCGTGCACCAGGTGACGTCAATAGATGAGAGGTGCAACTAAATAATAAGTAATTAAATCGTCTGAGCACCGCAATCGGTTTAAATAATATTTTGGAGAGATTATACATCAATCACGTATTCGTTCACGAATTACTAATCAATTAGGAAACTACTTACTCATTATTTTATTAACAAAAATTTGAATAGCTGGTTGAATACAAAGTTTGACGTCGGATTGTTAGTGTAGCCAAAACTTTTCAGTTCGTTACAGCGAAAGAAAAATTCATAATGTGGCAGCAAAGCATTAGTTCAAAAACTTGTGAATTGTACAGTTGCATTTCTTTTGAGCAGCGGCAACTGATCTGTACCGTCTGCTCATAGTTGGACGAGTTATTATAATATTAACGGGTTGTTTGCCTTTTTCGCAACATTGTGACAATTAATATTAATCTACTCTTTGATGCGGCAGCATAGGAAATGGACGAGTTACCAAATTGGTTATTGGAGCTTGATATCATGATATTACAATATGGATAAAAAGTATTACTACTAATATCAGCCGTGTGCGTTGGTTTATACTGCTACGGCTCAACTGACAATTATGGTGATGTGGCGCATAAAGAAATTATATGGACTACTAAATTAATTATATCATATCATGATATTAATAATCAATATCTGCCAATACCAATGTTGCTTGTGACGGTGTGCATAAAATGTATAAACTACCAAAATTGATTATCGAACTTTGATGTCGACATGATTGAATAATTTGCTAGCAAAATAAATAATCAAGTATTTATCTGCCGCTTTTACCGTGATCTACATAATAATAACATTGAAAAATCCGGCTGTATAATACTAATAATATCATTCGATTTTTAGGTGAGTCGTCCAGAATACATTTTTATTTCATACTTACTAAAAATTGTAAATAACCGTGATAATAATCACCGGCACATCGCACAACCCCGATCCGATAACATTTATATGTCAGGTCACACAAATAACCAATTATGTAATTCATTATGTGGTGGTTTTTTTTAGCGATTTTCGAATTTTATATCAGCTGACCTTAATATAGTACATTTATCCTTGAATCGAATAGCTCATTGATTGTGAGTCTTTTGCTTCAACCTTACAAATTCAAATACATAATACATGTCGTTTAATGAATGCAAAATACAAATAAATATGATTGTTATCGAGTTACGAATTTATTCCAAGCTATAGAATGAACGTGCTACAAAAATACAAGAGCGGTGAAATAAGTATGCTAATTGAAAAAGGATCTACCATTAACCCCATTGTGCATTGAGGGGTTTGATATCGGTAGTGTTACAAACATACGGGAGGCCTCGTATGAAAATCCGATCACTTTCAGCAGGTAAAAACACTCATAAAGACAATGCTTATTATTTGATTTGTACTTTTCGAGGGAAAAAAAATGATAGATAAAATACACTATTGTTATAAGACTGCAGTTCAATGAAGTGGGCTGTGGATAAACATATATATACGTATATTCCTATTGTAGCTTACTTAGCGATTTGAAGTTTGTACGTTTTTACTATTGAAAGTGGTCGGAATGATCGGCCAGAAGAAACTTCGTATATGGATTTTCATATGATGATGTTTGTAACAATAATACTACCGATATCTAACCCCACCTCCCCATAATATTCGAGCCGGAATGATCGGCCAGAAGAAACTTCGTATATGGATTTTCATATGATGATGTTTGTAACAATAATACTACCGATATCTAACCCCACCTCCCCATAATATTCGAGCCGGAATGATTAGAACGTATCTGGCTGTGCGACATGTCGGGTAATATGTTATTTTCTATGACATGCCATATTAATATGCAGTTATAATTAGTGCAAATCATGGTTGATGTGACACCACGAAAAAGGGGGCAAAAATTGGTCTGTCCAATACGTATTGTTTCAAAAAAAATTTTTTTAATGGCCGAAATTCGTTCTTTTTTTATGTCTTACCAAAACAATTAACCAAACAAACCACGAGAACCAGCGATACTACGATTTTTTTTTTTTGAAAAATGACCACGATGCAACAAAACCATGGAGAATTGTTCAATGCAAAGGGGGGGGAGCACTAATTACAAATTTTAGTTGCATCGTGGCGTTCTTCCAAGAGATAAAAACATAGTATCGCTGGTTCTCGTGGCTTATTTGGCCAATTGTTTTGGTAAGACATAAAAAAGAGCATTTCTCGACAAGGAATAAACGAATTTCGGTCCTCTTTTCTTTTATGCGTATCGAATCCTATTTGGATTAGACTAATTTTTGCTGAGATACAGCCCCACGATCAGAGCTTTTTAATTTGCCCACGTATAAAAAGAGGTATAACATATAGCGCCAGGGTAAGCGGATGGACTACGATTGTAGCAATTAATTTCGGAATACTAATAAAAGTATCACGTATATAAAATTGGGGCCCGTGTACTTGATGCATATCACTTACCAATTAAGACATACGGTTGACTTAATATGGCTAGTCTTAAATAAGGGTTGACCCAAAATTCTACTTACATAGTCACGGTAGCAAATGTAAATAATAGATGAGTAATCGGACTATTTTCCTACTACTTTAGTTTCAAATTCGAAAAGAAGTAGTTCATTTAATATTAACCATAACGACTTTAGTAAGTGACAAAAACACTATTCTAGGTTGCTTCCTTATTTCTCAGACATGATAAACGGAGAACAATGTGTTGAGAAGTAAATAAAAGCAAGTATATTTCCCACATAGTATAAAAGCTTTGACGTTTAATTCTGGCATGTCTCAACAATTCAAGCCTATGCTAATTATAGGCAGTCATATCTTGCTCACGATGAGAAGTGTGTTTATGATTAGTTTGTACAGTCACTGCTTTGGATACTGCAAGTTAAGGGAAAATTCTTTCTTTTTCGCGATATCAAGCAACATCATGAACGTTATACGAATACCGGTGGGAATTCTCATGTTTAAAGATTGCGCAATCAATCGATCTAATCTAAAGGAACACTTTGTGGTTACTTAATTTAGCATCTCATTCAAAAATCCAAATGGAGGTAAAAAATTCAAACCAAACAGTAGATAGTATTATAAATAAAATAAATTATCTATTTCAATTCTCCGAGGGCAAAAGCTATAAAAGCGTTCAGTGATTTGTTACAAAAAGACGGCCCGCAAATAGCATTTGCCTCGGTTACAATATTTCGACTTGGCATCCACTACTAAAATGAAAACAAGCACAGAATATGATCCTATTGCGTATAAACCCCCCAATAATTATTTAGATAAGCTAGCACCCGAAATTAAAGTAGAAATTATACTCCACTTGAGTACACCTATACCGCTTGCTCAGTGTTCGCGTGCTTGGCACACCACAGTAAACTCTCCTGTTACAAAGTCCAAGTGGCTGATCAGCAGATTTGGTAAAACGCATGCATTATTTCATGCAGTAAGAATGGGCGAGCCATTCATTAATGTTGATGTCGTCGAACGTCTATTTGCCCAAAAAGCCCACATAAGCCGATACTTTATTCAACGAGTAATGCTTGGATTTGGCAAGTATGACAGCAGGCTTATTGATCTCAAATTGGCACACAACATAAGACCGAGCAAAATCCGGAGCCCGTGGGCGAGCAATCTTTCCTTTGATGTTTTTTCTCGGATTCTCAAAGAGGGACATGACCGATTTGACGGAAACGACATTCCGGTGCGCGGAAATGACATGGAGTTATTTTATTATCTCTCAGCTGGTCCGCTAGTTATTAGCGAAGCAAGAAAAAGGCTGGAAGAGAACATAAACGAAATCGAAAGGTTGATCACAACGTTTAGATTTGCGCCATTTCCTCCTAGGCCAAAAATCCGAAAGCACAATATAGGGAACACAGAATCACGTCCTGTTAACTTCAATGATTATCCGCCTACTGATGGTTACGAAAATGTTCGCCGACTAAATGTCATTGCGCGAGCCATACTTTTGCATCCCAAATTAGTTAATGTCTGGAAAAAAAACGATTATTATGAAATAGTCGACGATGTAAATGATCTTGTCATGCAAGGCTCGTTATTAATTCTTTATCCCCCCACCCCAACAGCCGGTTGGGTTAAACCCGGTTTAGATCAAGTTGTTAAACAACTAAATGATCTGCAAAACATTGGATTCAAACTAACAGATGGGTTGATCGGAGA